TGATTGCGCGCAGTATTTGTTTCCCACTTAGGAAGAAACTTCATATATATTAAAAATTCAAATTGATCATTGTTGAGATGAGTTTGATAAAATTAGAAACAGTTTTAAAGTTAGTCTTCAGAACCACCCAACATTAGATGTCTAAAAAAATGACACTTTTATAGCAGCCATCAAGACTTGTAATAAATGTGAAAGAATCGCAACACAGACATTAATGTCACGGTGAAATCCTACAGACTACATATTCCATGATAAGTTAATAGATTGAGAATACCTTTTTAATTTCAGCATCAATTTGTTGAAGTAATGCTGCCTTTTCATCCTCAAATAATACTCGTATTGGTGGACCCATATACATGAACATTACACCAATCAGGGTCACTCCCGAAGTCCTCACAAGTGGATTCACCGCTGCAAGAGATTTCTTTATATATGGTATATAACACTTTAGGAACAACCCTGTGTGACAAGAAATCAAGAAGGTTATGTCAACTCTGAATGAAACTGAGAAAAGCTATGCGGATTTGAAATGCACTTCTAATTTCTGGTCTATTATTAAACTCCCCTCCAAATACTGTAAAGAGGTTAATTTTTGCGGTGTTAAAAATTCGCGCATTCCTAATTTCGGACGGCTTAGCGGTGTTTTAAATTCGGGCAACAGAGGTTTTATATTTATCTAACTAAGCAGGAAACATCTTGCCCATTTGCGTCCTACTTTGTAAACAATTCGTATGTGGCAAAACAAATACAATATAATCAACAGTGTCAGACGATCGTATGCACTCAGACTATTATGTATTTCGCACTTGTAAATTTTATTCATTGTTTTACTGTTTTCTGATATTAAACAATACATGGCTCATGCGAAGCGGTGACATGAGAGAAATGAGTGTGGGCTTGTTTCTTCCCCAAAATCAGTCTCCTGTGTAGTAAACGTACATGAATCATTGTCTGCAATTTACCGACACTACAACATGGCTACCGATCTCATAAAATGGTTGAAAAAAGCACCATTACCGTCACCAAGCGAACCAAACTTGCTCGATCCTAATAACATCAACAACGTCGAACAGTACGAACTGTCACCTGAAGTAATTGCCGTTGTCAATGAAGAGATAACATCCGCTAGTCGGAAACAAAAACACAGAAATTATCAGCACTATGATGAAAATATTCGAGCTAAAATTGGCAAATATGCAGTAAACAACGGTGTGATGAATGCTGCTAGAAAATTCACTAAAGAACTTGGTAGGCATGTTGGTGAGAGCACGGTTCGAGGAATGAAACAATCGTATCTCAAAGCAATTCGGAGTGGCAAAGAAAATGTCAACACATTGCCGACAACAAGGGGACGTCCCGTACTGCTCGGTAGTGAACTCGACTCCAAGGTACAGTCACTTGTACGACGGCTGGCATCAAGGGCGGTGTTGTTAATTCAGCCGCTTGTATTACAATCGGCCGAGGTATACTTCTACATGGAAATTTACTACAAGAGTTTGGGGGTCACATCAACTTGACCGTAGACTGGGCAAAATCGCTGCTTCATCGCATGGGTTACGTTAAGAGAAAAGGTACGAAAGCTGTTGATGACTTTCCTGCCATTGAAGCAGCTTTCCTTGAACGGATAACCAAGACCGTTAAAGAACACGATGTTCCCCAAGAACTTGTTATAAACTGGAACCAAACTGGTGTTGCGATAATTCCAGCAGGCGAGTGGACAAGGATCACGTCAAGTCACTATAGCAGGACTCGATGACAAGTGGCAAATTACTGCATTGTTTGCATCGACTGCTTCAGGTGATTTTTTACCACCTCAGATATTATATCAGGGGAAAACCGATCGTTGTCACCCGGGCTACAATTTTCCCGATGCTTGGAATGTTTTCCACACAGAAAGTCATTGGTCGAATCATAATTCCATGATGCGATACGTCGATAACATCATTATACCGTACGTGAATGCAACCAGGATGAGGCTTCAACTTCCAGAGACCCAGCAAGCAGTCGCCATATTTGATGATTTTAAAGCACATCGCGGCCAAGAACTGTTAAAGAAGTTAAACGATCACAACATCTCTGTAGTATTTGTGCCAGCATGCTGCACAGATCGTCTTCAGCCCCTTGACTTGTCCGTGAATAAGATCTTTAAGGATGCGATAAAGCGAGAATTCCAGAATTGGTACGACGAGCGTGTGTGTTCAGGAATGAATGATGGCGTGGATGACCCGACGCTCGATCTCCGGCTAAGTGAACTAAAACCGCTTCACGCGAAATGGCTCGTTACTGCCGTACAGATCATTTCCCAACGACACGATGAACTGAAAGAAGGATTTCTAAAAGCAGGAATTCTAGACAGTTTTGTTTAAGGTTGTTTAATGATCACATTTATAAAAACTGTTGACACCAATCAAACTCGTAATGCATTTCCCCTGTAAATTATATAACTTAATGTCGACTTTGGTGAAACTTGCAATTCATGTACTATTAACACTGATGTGTAGTATTTATTATTACAGTTGAGACAATATTTTAATAAATAAAATATTGATGCTCCAAAACACTTGTATCTTTTGTTTTGTCTGTGTTACAAGTTTGTGTGAAACCTCAATGGGTGAAACAAAATTCAAGATGGCCACCCGGAACACAAATTTGCGGTGTTTATTTTTCACGCACAAAACCCCAGCGCGTAATGCGCGTAAATTAAACACCGCCGAACATTAACCACTCTACAGTAGAAGCAATATACTTACGTTGAGAATCCAAACTCTTTAATTGCATTTGAAAACCAGTTCAGAATTTCAGATTGGTTTTTGGGGTTTTTCTGTTCATCAAAAGCATAGAAGACAGCCTTCAAGGGGTGAAAAAAAGTTAATATTCAGTTATACATTTGAACACTGTTACAGCAAAATATAACTGGAATGAATTAAACACCTATAACCTATTACAACTTCATATCAAAAGTAAATAGATAAAAACATAATCATACAGCTGTCTCTGCCCACAACAGTGATACCCATTTACATTCAATACTTAATGAGGGCTCAACAATGATGTTGTAAGCTACACATGCAGCATTTCATGCAAAAAATTAATACAAAGTAAGCAATATGCATAAAGCATATACATTATTATTACCTCAGAGCTGACCCATCCAAGTGATGTACATTCAGCTAATGCAGAGAGAGTATCACCAACAACAGAGCCAACTTTAGCATCTCCTATCTTCTCAACAGCACCTCCAATTACCACTGTTCCAGATTTCTTTGATACTTTGCCTTTCTCAAGTATCAACTTAGCAAGTAAGAATTTTCCCTTTAGCACCTGTCATTTGAAAATGAGAATGTCTGATGTTAAAATGAGAAGCAGAAGCACATGTACTAACATTTACAATGCGAGTACATACAGTTTTGTAAATAGAACATGCACACTTTGCATCACTATGTCGGTCTTTATTTCAGCATGGTTATATTTTTGCCATCATGCTTTAAGTAAATTTAACAGCAGTCTGACTCGCACAAATTTGTCTAAAATTAAAGCAGTTTAACAAAGATTAAATGAAATTCCCACCTGAAAATTGTTCTCCTTCCAGCCAGGTTTCTTTGCAAGGACTCTCAAAAATACTTGTACTGGAATGTCTTTCTTTTCCATGCCATCAATGATCTAAAATTGATGATAAGATAAGTTAACATTATGATAATACCAATAACATTCAATTCTTCAAATAATTTGTTTTTATGACTAACCTTGGTAAATTCTTCAATTGCAGCAAGCCTTTCTTTCCAATTGCTACTAGCCAAGGTTTTTAATACGGAGGAAGGCAGAAGCACTTCTGCTTTCTCATCAACTTCTTCATTCTAAAAAGCAAAATTCACATCAACTATTATAATGATGAATCAATTGTCAAGGCAATCTCAATATCCTCTTAGTTATTAAAGTTGTTTGGTCGACTTCATGCACTGTACTCAACAGAATACAAAATACACAGATACAAATTCCATCATACACATGTTAAATAATTCATGAAACAGTTCATACAGTTGACAAGATGTACTCTGTTTGCCACCTGCAGATCTATTTTTAAGTGATTACATGGAATGTGTCTTGTTTTAACACAGAATAGTACTCACAGAAAGGAACGGTTCTGTCATTTCTTCTTTAGCCCCACCAGCTGGAACTTTCTTTTTCCTACCACCAGCTGGTGCTGTTGATGGTCTTGTAGAGCTACTTGCCCCAGCCTTACCACCAGCACCTGCCGTTGTGGGCCGTTTCCCAGCAGCCGGTTTCTTTGATACAGCTGCTTTGGTAGTAGCAGCAGGTTTTTTAGTTTCTTGGGTTTTAGGTTTTTTCCCTCCATGTTCCAATTCAACTTTTTCACAAGCTTCCCTTATCTGTTAGACATAAAATTAAATAACATTCAAAATCATGGGACTTGCATGTAAAAATAAACCAGTAATACCATTTATGATCCAGTGCTTGATCTTAGAGATTCATGCATAATGCAAAAATGTAAAGGATGTACAAATTGTGACTAAATCATCATGCCTGTCATGATGATTGACAGCTCAAAACGAGCACCAACCTTTTCAACTTTAAGTTTATCCATATCAGCTAAGAATCCAGTTAGTGGCTTCTCACCCATGACTTTCAGCACAGTACCTAATGCTTCAGCTGCAGCATTACGAACATCTGGTACAGTATCATCCATTTTCTGTGATGAGGACAAGATAAAACAAGACAGTTAGTAAACACACTATCCTGTTCAATTTGTATGTGCAAATATCCATCAAATGAAAGATCTTGTGAGAAAAATTTGACGCTTTAGAGAATAAGAATTGAAAATTAATTCAGAATAAATTCTTACCTTTGCTAGAGGAGCCAGTATCGGTTTAAGTACGCCTTTTGGCAAGTTCGCTGGAGAAATTTTTTTAAAACATCTTGCTAGGAATAAGCTGGTTTCTGCTTTGATGGATGGGTTTTTGCTTTCTAGAGCAGTTATTACATCCTCCTGGATTGCTTGAAGATTTGTCTAAAAAGAGACAAGAACATAGTTGCAGGAGTTTCATTTTTGAGATGGCTGCAGGCTAATTAGCCATCTACTCTTGTTAAAAAAAACTGACGAGCAATCTACTTTACTAAATATTGTGTGTGAAAGAATACAATTTCACAAATGTGCCAGAACAATTTTGTATATAGTTTATGTTTGGGTTGAATTGTATGATTATAACATATTAAAAATATAATTACAGAATATACTCACTGAAACAAAGATGGCATCTATTGCGTCCCGAAGTGCAGCTACTACGGCTGGTTTCTTCTCCTTAAACTTCTCCAGAATGGTTTGTATACACTGGCAATGGAATAACAATTTTAATTTGTGAAGACATTATTAATTAGTCTGTATCTTGCATATTCTTATGCATGACAGATCTGCTGTAACAGTTCAGCCAGGTGAAATCAAGCAACAACAATCTACGAGCCCATCAAAAAAACATGTAGTCCAGACACACATAAAATTTGAGAAAAGTCAAATCAAGGTAGGATGGATAGATTGGGATGGGAGATTTAGAGACAATAGGCAACATAGTAATGATGGCACTGCTGAAAATGTGAAGATAAGCATTCAGAAAAAAACTGATGTGACATCATAGGTAGGAGGCAAAGCTGGCTCCTTGGAAAGTGCATCAGAGTCTCCCTATTGTTTTTGCAGGAATTAGTTCCCTTGTAACATATTCCTAAGAACAATATTGTATACTTTTAGTTCAATGTTCTCCTTGTGAAGCACAAGTATGCTTAAAAAACTGGGTTACAACTGGTCCATATTGTTACATAAATGTACATTGCAAAACAGTACCAAGTAAGTGTTCAGCAGCGTTTTTAACTTTTGTGTCAGATTTCAATGTGTCAAAACATGACACCAAAGTTAAAAAATAATATACTAGTTTGCTGGCTCTTTTGCAATGTACTTTTATGAAACATGATGGTTACTGAGCAAGTTATTCTAAATATACACAACATTTAAGTACAAGTTCAAATATGCACAGATGTTCAAACGCAGATTGTCAACATTCATCTTATTATCAGTTTGTGAACTTACCTGGACAGCATATGGCTGGAATTTTTTTCTGAGACCTGTAGCTAATCCACATAGACACTTGGCAGCATGAGTCACTAGCATGACATTAGTATCTTTACCTACCACCTGATTAAATAAAATACACAATTTAATAATCACAATATTAATACAAATTGGAAGTTGTTTTCTGATTAATAGAGGTAGTGGTGAGGAAGACAATAAAGATGTAGGTAATGAATCTGAAAGGTAACATACACTATTCTCCTTATTATTGACAATACCAAAAAGGTTGAAAAAGGAGGTAACGATAGGAAACTATGAAGACATGCAATAATGATTCTATGATAGATCACTATATCACAACACTGACATACTTTTAGAAATACTAAAAGACCATGATCACATATCATGACTGATATTGATAATAATACCCATGTTCATGTGATCTTTATAATCATTCAGTTTTCAATAAAGTTGTTAAAAATTGAACATCTGTCAGACAAGTTTTTTGTAAACAACGGATACCTTTTTAAGTGCTCTAACTAGATCGCCATAATCACCAGGTTCCAGTTTAGGGTGAGAACATAGCTGCTGAATTGCTTCTAATGCTTCTCTACGTGTTTGCCACTTCTTAGCCTCCTGTAGACAAATAGCCGATACGATTGTCAATTATATTAGAAGAATAAATACACAAATACAGCAAGAATGGGTTAGGTTTCAAGTTAAGCATAAAACTAATTCATGACCAAGATAAGTACACTTACAATATTTTCATAAAAATCTTTGGGTATTTTTGTTATTATTTCTACAGGATCTAAGAGTTCATACGGATCAACTGCAGCAGCACCCGCCGTTTCATCACTTTCATCTTCATCGTCCACATCTCCATCAACTTCATAGAAAGAATGAGAAGTATTATTACGTTATCATGAATTAAGATTACCTGGTAATTATAAAATACATGTGTAGCCTCTATGGCCAAAACTTTTATGACTGAAAGTTTTCAGGGTGGCAAATGATAGCCGAAACTTTCGTCCACCATGACAACCACCGCCCTTTAATCTCCAAGGTCAATTATTAATTTCAATCCTTGCATTAATTAAACAGTAACCTATCTTGATTAATTAGTATGTAAAGTAGGCTATTTATAGGCATGGATTGACACTCAAATTTTACATTATTCTGAAACATTATTCTGGACAGTCAGTTACCAAGATAGCTCGCAACCCCGCAAAACAATTCAGGGTTTGCGCTTTGTTCTAGACTTGGCGGTGCCACTCGACAAATGGGTGAGCTGTGTATAATTCAATACTTCATAGGGTGGGTGATCAACATATGATTTGCAAACATGGTGTACAAATTTAAGAACTATTCTTCATTTCTTGTTTATCTACATTGTATGTAATTCAGGAAATATTAAAAACATTCTCTTTATAAAAATAATCTGTTCGTATATTGTAATGAATGTTTTGCCAAATTGCATGTCATCATGCTAACTAATTGAATAATTCTCATAATGGCTGTGAGTGTTCCTACCTTCATCACAGGCAGCCTCTGCTTCCATCTTAGCTTTTAAGTCCTGCTGAGATTTCAAAAACCTTGTCTGTTTTGCTTGTTTACTGGGCATTTTTTCAAATTCCTCTTCAAGTTCTTTGAGCTAAAACAATATAGTAAGAAATTCTAGGTTACAGAATCATTGCATCTACTACCATAGATCTACTACATGGGCGACTGAGATGCAGACCAGCTCATTATTCAAGCGAACAATCCAGTACATGTAATACTCAGAAGAAATCAAGGTTTTGTGATTTTGCATTTCAGCCATGCATAGAATGTTCAAACGCAAAACCTGTTCCAAACAATAGCTAAGTCGCTAATTGGTTTGCAATGCGCGTCTTGAGATTGTTAAGTGATTAGAACAGGTTAATTCAAACCATTTTTACAAGGGTGCTAAATGTGCACATTTACAAGGGTTAAAATATGCACCAGATTTGTCTGTGACTGCTAGAAAATACATTTTGTTTTGATAACTTATTATAGCAGTTTATATGATTTAATGAATTCAATTAAAAGCAATTGCATCATGATCTTCAATTTATATTCAACGTTTTCAAATCACTCACTATTACTGAGTTTGACGTTTCCTGTCGAGGTTGGTTTGACCAAACTTGTTCTAATCGTGTAATGATCTCCAGGCGAGCATAGCAAATCTGTCAGTAAATTAGCCGATAATGTTGCTGTTTTGATGTTCAGAACAATTTGGCGGTGACAATATTAGTTTGTGCAAGCAGGGCGCAGTTATTGTCTCATAAACAGACTTCACATGGATCTACCAATAATTTTGCACCACTTCAATAACAGACAAAACACATTATAATAGTTTACATAAGTGCATCTCAGTGGAGAATGTCTGCAACTATCTATTAGAAATGTGAATGCCAATTTGATGCTCTGTAAAATTGCCATACAAGTGTCAACTGTTTAAGATGAGTGAAATGAAAAATTTAAACACTTTATATTGAACAATTTTTTAGTAATAATAACTATGTCTAAATTTATGTTGTAGAATTGGCTAGAAAAAGTGATGACCTAACCATCAAGGTTTTTTGCAGTGGGTGTGTTAATATTGCTAATAAAGAAAAAGCCAGTTAAAGATGTGTGTACTCACTGCAATTGCTGGAATAGACTGTATTGCTGGCTTAAATGCTGCTCCAACCCATCTGTAAATTTCAATAGCCAATAACTTGGCTTCTTCTCTTACATTCTTATCTCTGTTTTCAAACTGTTTTGGTAAAGCTTTGACAATTGGCTTCACTGTGACAATTTTAGAACCAAATCCATTCAAAGCTTCCCTAAGTACAGCCAGGCAACCTACCACCACCTTAGGCTGCTTGTTGGCAAGACCTTTCAGGAGTTCTTCCTGTTTGAGGAACATGATAAAATAAATTAGAAACTTCCACCATTCTTGGTCAAGACTGTAGCTTTAGTCACAGTGAATCTGAGTTGATGAGGAAATAATTGTTCCACAACTAGTGAAAACATTTGAAACAATGCTGGCAATGTTGCTTGAAATATTACAATGTTGCAAGTGAGATTAATAGGAAGATGGTGGTTTTCTAATCAGTTTATTTTGGCAGCTGCTGTAACATATAGGCGTTCTCACTGAACACGAGAATCAAGATGGCAACAAGGTAGTCTATATTGGGAAGAGAACCATACATTCAAAAAATATTCATCCAGAAAAACATTGAGACCATACCTGTACAATTTCAATTTTTTCTAGCTCTATGTAAATCATTAGTATCGCCACACCCTTTTCTTTAGTCCTTGTTCTTGGTGAATTCAAACACTTGGTGATTACACCACAACTTACGTCACCACAAGTCCTGCCAAGAATAAAAGTCAACATATTTAATACTTCTGAGTGAAAGTCATTAAAGGCAATTTTCTCAATGCCCAAGAAGTTTGCCTTGGTGCTTTTTGAAAAATATAATTTTCTCTATAATAATCCCATATGGTAAGGCAATTTTAAATTTTGCTACGAAAATGTGTGCCCTCTCAACTTCACAGTTCAAGGCAGTTCAAGGTACTTGACAAAATCTTACATGTATTTTATTTTTGTATTTGCGTTTTATTTTCATGATTGTCACAATGGACAATTACTTTTCATATGGCCAGAAGATACATAAACTTCAAGACTAGAGATGAAA